TCGCAAATTTCGTAACATTTTTTTGTTCTTTACTTAGACATTTGGGGATGTTTAAGCACGTTAATAAACCTTTTTTACTTAATTTATAGTAAGGTGCAGCCATTTCAATAGTTTAGAGTGATTTTTTATATTAAAAGGAATTTTTTCAAATTTTGGATTTTGACCTTTCTGAGTCACTGTGCTGCCTGTCTGGGGTGCCGTGCTGCCAAAACTTTTTTTTTTCTTTCTTTAAATCAAAATTTTGATTTAAAAGAAATAAACTTAGATATAATTTTTACTGTCCATATTATCTAAATATACTGTCTTGCTCGTATATTGGTGACGCAATTGTCTTGCTCGTATATTAGGGACGCCAAAGATTACCCTTTATTTAAATCTTAATAACCATTGTGTATTAAATTTATGATGTTCATTTCTGGATGTTGGGTGTTGGGTGTAATTTTAACCATATTTAAAATAATAACAAATACTATTTGTAACGATTTTAAAGTTTTGTTATGATTTTAGATATTTTAGTTTTATTTTCTATTTGAAATAGAAAATAAAAGTACTTGTACTCTAGGAGCAAAAAACGTCAGGAGAAAATTCACAGTCTCAAGATTTAAAAAGCAGTTGAAGCAGAATCTGTACAAGAGTCCTTTAATTTACAACCAATTACCCGTACGAGTTGATGTACGAATGATGTTGATGTACGATGTTGATGTACAACCAAGTACCCGTACGATGTTGATGTACGAATGATGTTAATGTACGATGTTGATGTGCAACCAAGTACCCGTACGATGTTGATGTACGAATGATGTTGATATACAATGTTGATGTACAACCAAGTACCCGTACGATGTTGATGTACGAATGATGTTGATGTACGATGTTGATGTGCAACCAAGTACCCGTACGATGTTGATGTACGAATGATGTTGATGTACAATGTTGATGTACAACCAAGTACCCGTACGATGTATAAAATTACAGTAAAAAGTCTTGTTTTAAAACAAACACTTTAGTTTTAACTCTTCTCTTTGAGAGAAAATGAGGGAACATTTTTTCGGATTTAATCAAGCCTTAGATACTTCTTCCCAAAGGTTGAAAGTTTGCTTGTTAGACGAGCTTTCAAAAAAAGAAACATTGTTACAAAGTATGGGTAGCCAAGGTTATGATAATAGATCACTCATATAGGGAAAGAATGTCTGCGTACAAAAAAAGATCCTTGACCTTAATCCAAGAGTTAATTTTCCTGCACTCTGCTGTTAATTTTTCTGCATTATTCAAGAGGTTTAAAACTTTTTTTCTGCATCAACCCATATAAAGAGTATATTAACAAATTATGTAAACTATTTGACTGTTATTCTTCTAGGTGAAACCCGTTGGGAGAGCAAGATAAACACCTTTGAATCTTTGTGATACCAGATTTATAAGGTTTATGACGCTGTCTATGAATCCACGTTAGAATCCAAGATTGGTGCTTTTAGAAAATGTACCGCTATGGGAATTGCCAAGAAAATTTCAGGTTTCTTCTAAAATTCTTCTGCTCTTTGGTCTCTTGGTATGATTTTTTGTTCAAATTTAATTTAGTAAGCAAAACAATTAAGATGAAAAGTCTTACTAGTAACATAGTTTCCTATTAAACACCGCGTTATTTTTATAATTTAAAGTTAACCAATCACACTCAACTTTTAAATAGGGTTACCAGGCGTCCTCTTTTTACGGAAAGCGCGCGCTAAAATTTATTTTTGCTTTTAGTTGTCTATTATGCTTTGTTCTTAATTTTTAGGCTTACCACCGTGATTAAATTCTAGTATGATTAACTGTCATGTAGTTAAGCAAATTTTCCTACGGAAAAAGAGGATGTATGGTGGCCCTATTTTAACAAAAGTTAATCAAATATATTGTTTCAAAACGTCATAAGCATGAAGTATTGCAATTGAAAGAAATTGCAATACTTCATTGTGCTTTTTGAACGATTAATAATAAATTTTTAATTAGAATTGAATCAATAAATGTCTAGATAAGAATTGGTAGTATTTTTTCCGGATTTACAAATAGTTTTTTTATATCTCTATATTTAGATTATATAGCAATTTGTTTTTAAATCCAGCAAAAATATTACAACATAAAATAAAATCCTACAGAGATATAATACGTTCCTTGCCAAAAAAAAACGTTCTTTAAGAACGTATAAAACCTATAGCTAAACGGGGAAGCAAAAGATAAGGTTCAACCAAGTAGTTAAGACCTAAAAACTTTGATATTTATACCCTGTATCGAGTTGTTCAAAAACGATTATTTTACGTAGATCATAATTTTTGTTGTAATTACTACTTGATAGTTAGAATTGCTGTTAAAAACATATCCAGTCAAATTTTAAGAGAGTAATCCATTTTGATTACAGCTTACAAAGCTTACAAACTACATTTTAAAATTTTCCTTTTTCAACGCAAAGGCGCCATTTTGACTTGCTACTGGAATAACTATACAGCAAAGACTGTGCTACAATTTTAAACGATTTTTGGCTTTGCTTCATTCTATTATACCTCCTTGGGCCAAAAAAAATCAAAAAGCAATTTTACTATGAAGGTAAAGATTAATCTGTGGTGTCAGCAAGTCTTCTAAAGTAAATTTCTTTTTTGTTGTTTTAGATAATGCAATTAATTCTTTTTCAGAAAGATTTGAAGAGAAAGATAATCACAGCAAACATTTTAAATACCTTGAAAATAGAAAAAAATAAAAATATTTGAAACAGACGCAGTAAAAGAAAAGTGCAAAAACCTGCATTCCCTTTTGACAGCTGATGCTAAGACGTCAAATTTTTGTGCTTTAAAATTTTGTTTGGTGAAGAAAAATAAAATTGTCATTGTCAACATTGTCAAAACTGTTCATTGACATCTTAATGTGTGTTTAGCGTTGACAAATCATAGGTTAGCAAATAAAGGAGTTTTTCTAAACTAAAAACTTTCAAAAATTACCTCCCATTGACCCCTTCTCAGGACCGTCTATGTCAATAGTTGCATTAGCAATTGAACACCAGGTTCTGATTACCATTGAAACTGATTCATTTTTGAAAGACTTTGCTAAACTTAAGGAAAGAAATGTTTGTTACTTGAGATTAGTGCCATGTTAACTAACGGACACATTGGACACCTGCCGGGATGCCACGAAATTCAAGAAGCCAGAGCATCTGAATGAATTTTAAAGAGATATTCAATTTGAAAAAAAAATTATTATAAGTCTCTATCCTTGACTTCCTCTCTTGACGTCCCAGAGATTTTTAATCTTCGCAATAACAGCGCATTCGGCGTATCGCTGTTATTTAAATAAAACGTTTTATTTTTTTAACAACTTGAAAGAAATTTCGAGTGCAAGCATAATGGTAAAAAAGAAATTTAAAAGTTATTTAAGAATATAATGGTGAAAAAGAGTTTTAAAAAAATTGGATATTTTATCTATTGTTCATTCTCAGAGGATTATCATTCCGCGGATCAGACAAAAAATTAGGATCGGTACGCAACTTTATTGGATGTATTGAGCTATTATTAAAATTTGATCCTTTCCTCGCCCAAAGAGAAGGGTTGTATCTTGTACTTATCTAAAGACATTTATGAAGAACTCATACACTTAATAGCTGCCGAGATTATGGAATTTATAGGTAATGTAATCATCCTTAAATAACATTTTATTGTATTTTTTATTTAATTCAAACAAAATTTCTTATTAGCAAAATCAAATTTGCGAAATACTTTTGAATCATTTTTGATTGTACCCGATGTGTACAAAACGGAAAATCAATTGAGTGGTTGAATGCTAAGGCATTCATTTCCTTGCATAATCATTTTGCAGTTTCTATGCTTGAGATCGTTTTGATAAAGTTAGATTAGTATGCGATTAATATTCAAAATTGCTGTGGCAAGTCACACAACAATGCTAGTAATGTCTGGAGTCTAATCTGGTTTACAAGCAAGAATTAGAGGGATCAACGTTCCCACCGAACATATTCCATGTGCTGGTCACTATTTGAATCTCGGAGGAGTAAGTGCCACGGAATCCAACGAAGCTGTTGGTAATTTCTTTAGCCTTCGTCAGAAATTTTTAACTTCTTTTCTGCATTAATGCATTAAAGTCGAAGTTTCTTGCATCGACGCATCTTAAAGTCAAATATCCTTGCTGGAATACGTGTTAAAGTTCCCTAGACTTCCTCATTAACTCGCTGGACAGCTCGTGCTTATGCTTGTTTAGCCATTATTCTATTTACAAGTTGATTAAGAATTATTCAGAAAATCAAATAAAAACATTTTATTTGTGGTTGTGCATACATATTAATATATTTTTTCTATATAGGTTTCTCCTGATCTTAATGATGATCAGAAAGCCAAACCAAGAACAGAGGCCTTCGGACTTTTAACCAAAATGGAACAACTTGAGACAACTATTTTATCAATCATTTAGAACAGAATCAGGGAAAGGTCAAACAAAGTTAACAATAAACTGCAGTTCGTATAGCTTCATTTAGGTATGGTTGAAGAACTGTACAACTCCCTGGAGCATTATGTGCAGCAAGTTCGTTCCAATTTCAAGCAACATGAAAAAGAAACCGTGTCTTTGTTCAATACGGATGAATATGCCTATGTTCAAAGGCTCCCAAGAGCACTAATTATGCCTAATTAACATAAATAATTAACATTATATAAATCATGATGCCTAATTAACAGTATGGAATACTGTTTAAATTACGATGATGAAATTAACAGTGTGGAAACTACAGTGTTTTCTGGGCGATCTTAAATGATTGCCGACGTTAATGTGTGTGTGTGTGTGTGTGTGTGTGTGTGTGTGTGTGTGTGTGTGTGCGTGTGTGTGGTAGAGTATATTTTGGTTGCAATTAAATTTTAGTTTTGCTCATCATCCTGATTTTTAATGTTTTAACACAAACTTTCTGAATAATGTTTTTTTATATATATAAAAATATACAAATTGCGTAAGTTTTCAATAAAAAAACAAAATTATTCAATAAAATAGATTTTTTTTTCAATTTAACAAACGTCGTTAATTAACTGGTTTTTGAACTTTCCTCACTTTGCGAACTTTTCTCTGTTTTTGAGCTTCATTCCTAAAGATAGTTATTTAAATATATAAATTGGTAAACACTTAAAGATGTAAAACAATTAAGCATATAAAGCATAAAATATTTAAAAAGTTTTTAAATTTAGCATTTTTTTTAGCAAATTAAGCAAGAATAACTTTATTATTTCTTGTTTTAGTAATAAGTTTGAAAACTTAACGTTCTACTTTAAAATTAAATACTTTGTAGCATTAAAAACATAAATAATCGAACTTTTTCAGTTGTTTTTTTTGTTTTTTTTAATTATTACAGCAGTAAGATATTTTTGGTGATTGAGAAATTGAACCTCTCATTTCATTATTCATTTTGAGTTTTAATGAATGAACTTGTGTCCTTTTTTTAAGAAGAGGTTTATTGTAAATATCTTGTGTGAGAGTATATTGCAAAAAATTAAAAACGATTACAAAGAATTTGAATAAGCAAGTAAAAATTTAGGAAACTTTTTTACAGTACACTGTTACGGTTTCTGGTCAAAATAAATTAACAACAAAACCCACTTTTATTAGTTAAATTGAAAAAATAAAATCATAGTTTTAACATAATGAAGTGGCGAGCTTTGTATTGTAATCTTTCAAAGGCCAAGTTGGTAAAGAAGATTAACAGTATAATAGATATTGAGGCTGACATTTTTTTGAAAGGTTTAAATAAATCGGATGAGATTAAAAGAGATTTTATGAAAGATCTTAGAAGGAAATGGAAGGAGAAAAAAAGAACTAGGGCACGGTTTGTGGCTAAGTACCAGAACTGGCTAGATAGCGATGTCAAACCTATAGAGAATATTCAACCTTCAAATCCACCTATTAATCCTGATAATTAAATAACAATATGTGTATATAATAATAATCGTTTAGTGTTATATATCTTCCATGCAAATGTAATGTTGTCAACGCCAATATTTGAATGTTATCTTTATCATGCTGTCAACCCACTCTTTTTGAGCAAGACTGTATGACAAATATTCTAATTCTTTTAAAATCTAGAGTATTAAAAAAAGTGTACAGAGACATCAAGCACCAAGATTAATATGATCTGTATAAAATAAGTGGATGTCCCACCTCCGGCAATTCTTACCCAATTAATTATAACTCTTTAATCTTAAAGGTATTATGCTCTTCTAGAAAGAATTATATAATATTTTTAATTCCACGCTAATTTTTCAGGGCGAGGGAGATCTAAAGAGGAATTTTTTTGTAGATTGTAGTGGATGAAGAAATGAAAATCGGTAGAACTATGCAGCCAAAAGTCCACAGATGAGCTGCTATCTGCTGCTATGATGCATCTCAAGATAGATGGAAGATTAAAAGATGGACAGATATTGCAGGAAACAATCAGTTGTAAAGATGATGGAGTTGTTCAGCAGGATGGTTGCTATAGTAATAATGAAGCGCTTGTTCTATTATTACAATGCAAATTGTCCAAGAATGATTATCAAGAAATGCGCAATCGAGCCAAGGAAAGAGGATACAGCAGGATGTACCTCTTATATAGTTTAGAACATGAGACAAAAGAGTACTATATCCCAGTCTCTGAAATACAAGTAAAGGACTACTCAACTAAGGTAGGACTTCAAGATATATTAAACAATACGCCAAAGAGGATAATGGAAATTGCCAATACTTGTCTTCCAAATTTTAAACTTTTTTTCACGGTATGTGTTTTTTAAAAAATCATTCCGTTGACTAGTTTTTAACTATTTGAGTGACACCTAACCTTATTTTATGGTAAAGTAACTGGGAAAAAAAAAAGAATCTTTGAATTCGGAATCTGAATTAATTTGACTCTTAGTAAATATGATGAATTTTCAATTCCACGTGAGTTTTTTTATCCTGGCGAAATTAGACCATTTGTTAATTTGAACTGTTTTCTTTTTTTTTTTTTTTTTTTTTTTTTTTTTTTTTCTTTTAGGGCGAGGGGGGGCATTCCTTCAAAGCAGAACTTTTATTTCAAATTCCATAGAACTTTTATTTCAAATTCCATGTAAATGCATAAAATTTTAAAATTTTAACAAAATTTCAAAACTTCGAACGTTTAAAAATTAAAAAAATATTCCGTTAACAAACTAATTATTTCCACAGATAGCATTAGTTTGTGTTTAATATTGATTAAACTTTATTTACTAAGATAAAATATAAACGGTTACTGAAAAAAAAAAAAAAAAACAAGACTGTAGCTAAAAAAAAAACAAGATCGTAACTAAAAATAAAATTATGCAAATGAAGTTTTCTATTATAAGTGAGCAATATTCTAACTATGCAGTTACTGGGTTATAAAGCAAACACTGTCTAGATGGATGAAAAAAAAAAAAACAGAATTTGAGTGGTTCTGCATAAGTATTGAGACAAAGCATGTTATACATTGGTTCTAAATATGTACTGCTTTGAGGGTGGGGGGGGAGGAAAGGTTAAGTGTTTTTTTGACAACTCATACAAAACTTGTTACAATTTTGTGACAAGGGGGGTCTAAAATGGCAAAAAATTGCGTGATTTAATTTGTGGACAATCCCTAAAAATAATTTTCTAGAATGTTGCTAAATGTTTTAATTTGGGTCCGTATAAAAGCTAAAAAACCTGTACAAATATTTTTTGAGGAAAATTATTTGACCCTGATGACAATTAAATGCCTATGTGATAATATTATTTCAATGACATTGTTAAGTTAATTAAAAATTATTCATTTTAACTACATCAGTATAAAATTAAAAACAGATTTACTCTTTAATAAAAGTTTTACCTAATAGTTTTTGTATTTGACATTGAAACACATTGCCTAGCATTGGGGTACTTAGCACATAACAAAAACAGCGTGTCTCTGTAATAAAAAAAAAGAACATTAAAAGTGCATTAACACATAAAACTTGTTTATAACATTAACTTTATAAAAATTTTGTTTGTCAAAAAGAATTTATTTTGATATTTTTTTATTTTATAATTTAAATAATTTAATAATATTTTAAATTCTACAAAATATTTTATATTCTACATATTTTAATAATATATTTTGAATTCTACAAAAATACTTTATTAAATTCTACAAGAAATATTTTAAATTTTACAAAAAAACATTTTTTAAGAAGAAATTATATAAGTAAAAGCTAGAGGTTGTGTGTCAATAAAAAAGTTTTGGGCAGTTAGCATCTATATAAATTGTGTTTTCTTTAAAAATCTAGCTGCATCCTTCTACTGTCTTATAGAAGATTTTGTAGACAACAACTTCAGAGATAAAAAGAAAGGTTAAGTTGACTTATTATGAACCACTTGTTCATCTATTTTACTGACATAGATGTAAACTTATCTTAATTGTCTAGAATAATGAATGCTAGATATTTCTGAATCTACTCATGAGTTTTTTCTTGTACTTCCCTGATAGTGGCTTTACTTCCCTGGTTCTGTCTTTACTTTTTTTTGGAAAACACAACTTGAAAACTCATTTTAATAGTTCAAAACTCTTTGGTAGAGAGCTCTTTCTAAGAGCTACCAAACTCTTTGGTAGCTCTCAGAAAGACTGATTTCACTAACAGCTGTATCAGAGTATTAACAGTGCTATTTAGCGCATCAATGGTGTACTTGTTAGTGTTTTTGGCATTATTGTTTAGGCCTTATAAGAAGCCTTTTATTAAGACTTTGGGTTAACAACTCTCATTTTTTTATTCAGATAGTTTGTGACAACGTGTTTCTAGACAACTTTCACTCCTTAATTTGTGTTTTGTCTCTGACCCTTGTGCTCATTTTATTTTATTTTTTATTTTGGGTTGGTTTAGATTATGCTGTGATTTAAGTAAAAATTTTATCTCTTTTTTTTTTTTCCAGACAGCTATAATCACATTTCTTACAACTATCTTAAGGTTGACTAGGATTAAGTTTGCTGATCATTCCGTCTTTTATGTAATCTCCATGATTGCAACAAGCATGAAAGCTTTTTTCTTCCTCTTCGGCTTTAAACCAACCCTCATTCTTCCACAGTAAACTCTCGGTTATTCGAAACTCAAATGGGGATAAGAATTTACTTCAGATAACTGAAAATCCCCTTTAAAGTGACTTATTTTAACTTTTATTACAACTACTATTATTAAAATAATTTTTTTTAACTTTCATTGTTGTAACAATCTATATTTATATCAAAATTTATATTTACATAATAATCATCGACAGCTAACATCTAATAAACCGCGTGATCTTAGCTTGATGTTATCAAGTAATTTGAAAGGATCACTATATTTGCAATCTGTATTTGCTGCACGATGTTTACCATTCTAAAACAATTCTTTATAATTTTTTCCAAAACAAAGTATCATGACCTGATCAATAAGCTTGTAGCTTTAAGAATTTTGGTTTTTGGGGACATTTTATCAGCATTGATATATTTGATCTGACGCCTCACAACATTCGTGCACTACAAACTTTTCAATGCTTTTATGACTCCCTGTTTCGTTAGAAATAGTTCAAAAAACAACATTATGTTTATTTTTTCGCCAATATAGCCACTTTTCTAAAGCCACTATTCTTTTAAGGTTTATTCTCTATTGAGAATAAACGCTTTCTTAGTATTGCAAAAAATCAAGGCACAAAAATGCTTTTTAACGCTCCATTATTTTTAGTTTTCTTAATCTCCTACTTTATCTTATAAGTTTATCTTTATCTTATAAGTTTATCTTTATCTTATAAGTTTATCTTTATCTTATAAGTTTATCTTTATCTTATAAGTTTATCTTTATCTTATAAGTTTATCTTTATCTTATAAGTTTATCTTTATCTTATAAGTTTATCTTTATCTTATAAGTTTATCTTTATCTTATAAGTTTATCTTTATCTTATAAGTTTATCTTTATCTTATAAGTTTCTACAATTCTTAACTACGTTGTTAATACATCGGTCTGTTTTTAAACTTCTCCAAAGATAAAGCAGAACAAATTATAGTGAACTTTTTCTCTAAATTAGCTTTTGAGTTCATCTCTTCATCATCTAATGACTATACTCTTGTTGTTATTACAAAAAAATCTATTGTTAGACATCTAAACCACTGCAGCTTTCTTAGCTAAACTTATTTCACTCCTGACCTAAATAGCTTGTGTTTTAGAAACCATACCTGTCATAGTTTTACGAAAATGTTTTCTTCAATATATTTTTAATCATTTAACAAGTGCTTAATTTTCTTCTTGCTGGAAAACGTCCCTTCATGCTCTAAAAATTTTTATTCATCAGATTTCTTTGCACAATAATGTAATTGAAAGATTCTTTAGATTTTGATATTGTATTGAGTAGATAAACGCTTGAAGTTTTGAAAAGAGTAAATTTAGTTACTATTGTTTTTAAGGTATATTTACTTTGAATAAAACAGCTTTTCAACGCTTCTGTAGAACTTTTCCTTTCTCTTTAAAACTATTCTCTGTTTTCTAGTAACACCCAACTTAATAGTGGTTACTTGCCGTTTTGTTGGAAGTAAATTAGTTTTATTTCCAAAAAAAGTAAAAAAAAAAAAAATCGAAATTTTGGTTCATAAAAATGTAAGTTTTGCAAAGTGTGTTGTAAAATCTATCCCACTTTAAAAATTGCCACACCGTTCCCATTTAAAATCACAGGAAAATACTTTATAAATTGGAACAAAAAAATTGATGTCTTTTGCTTATTAGTTCTTACCTTGGTTGATCAATACATTCAACTTTCTTAATTCCAGCTTTAGTTGCATCCTGCACTAAGTTGATCAATGTTCCTTCGCCGCATTTTTCTCTAAATAAAACAATCTTATTGTAATTTATATATATATTTAATCTACAATAAAAACATATCTGCTTTTATAGATACATTAAAAATAAATGAATTCATTACATTTTCTAAAGATTCAAGTTGGCTTTGGGAAATGCTTCATATATGCTAATTATCGTAAGTAAATTATAAGTTAGTTTTAGTTTTATAAATATAATTCAATCAATCAACCATTTATTTAACTTTATAAAGTAAATACAAAGCTAGGATCAGTCATAAACAGTTATTTAACTGATAAAAACGTGACGACCTACAAATATTCATTATAAATTTGACAAAATGTGTAACATATTACTAGTACATGAATAATAATATCAGGTAATATTATAATAATAATAATAAAAAAAAAGTACTATAAAAAATTTTTTTAAAAAAAGGCATTTAAAAAAAGAAAAAAAAGAAAATAAAAATTACTAGAAATAATAACTAACATGTTCTTAAATAGAACGATAATACAGTAACAAGAACATCAGCAATAGCCTGTTATTTAAGAAAAGAGGCAAAAACAACTTGAATTTTACAGGTATAAAGGATATGGTCAAAACGGCATAAAAACAATTATTTAGATAAATAACACAGCAGAAGCTTATTCAATAAGCTTCGATGCCAATAAGTTATTGGTAAGTTATTATGCAAACTGCCCCATACAAATATGTAATTCAATAGGAATATTAGATCTTTTAGCTTCATAATTTTTTAGAGATTGAAAAAAGATTTTAGAGTCGAATCTATTTTTTCGATTGGAAATGTTTTAAGTGATTTATTTTGATAATTTTCTATGATTTTTTGTATACTTTAAATATCTGATCAAAAAAAATCAAATTTTTAAAGATGTTAAAGATATTAGGAAAAAAGAAAAAAAAGAAGAAAAAAATTGCTTAAAAATCTAATAAACAAAACTAGTTAATCGCTTGCTAGTTGCTAGCTCATTACCCTCCAGGATGGAAAGAAAATACTAAAGGGAACTTTTTCTAATAAAGAACTTTCCATTCAGAAATTAAACAGATTTTACCTTGATATTAATCCAAACCTAGTTTAGTAAATTCCGTTTACTCAAAAAAGATTTGATTCATATCTTACAACCACATATTTAACTATGAGCCTATTTTGAACAAAAATGAACTTTATAAAGCTTATAAAAAAACAGGTATAAATCAAATTATTATTAATGTAATTAAATTTGTTTTTGATATTATCAAACTTCGTTATTTTTAAATTGTTTTTTAATTTTAATAAGGTACTTTTCGTAAGATTCTTTCTCATTTCCTTTTATATGTCAGAGCCGTAACCACCGGGGGCCAGGGGGGCCTAGCCCTTTCAAAAAAATTATTAAACAATAATTGTTAGAGAAAAACATATATTAGGGCTTTTCCCCTTATTTGTTTGGGCCTCTCTATCTCTGGGCCGCTAAAATAAGTACCTAAAAAAAAAAAAAGGTCTTTAATATATAATATGGGCCCTCCTAATAAGAAAATTGTGGTTACGGCTCTGTATGTTTAGTTTATATAGCGTATTTTTTTATAAAGATTATAAAATTTCACAATTTTAAAAATGACTATGCTCCTATTAAAACTACAAATTCGATCGAAACCTAGATCAAGTTTGAAGATCGAAACCAAGTTATGCAATTCCAAGAAAGACATCTTTCTAGTTTATATTAAACTCTTTTTACTTCAAAAATAAAATCAATATTTAAAATTTAAGGATGTTTTACACCGCTCTTATTTCTTCGATTCTATACTTGTTATGTCAAAGTGGTATTCAGCAAATGCAAAACATTTTTATGCAGTTTTAAATTTTTAAACGGCCTTACTTTTTAAACTGCCTTAACTTTACGAGTGATTTTCAAGGGGATCAACTATTGCTTCAACATCTTAAATACATTTTTTTTTTTTAATAAAAAAAACCTATTAAATAGTATAAAAACGTTTAAATCATAATTTTCTTTCTTTATTATTTTCTGTAACTAAATGGTACCGTTAGAGTTGTACATCCTACCTCAATAACAACTTAATTTTTGAGATGAAAAGCAAAGGTAATAAACAAAAATAAACAAAAAAGAAAAAAGTATTTTTTTACTTTATTTAAATTTTAATAAAAAAACTAAAAGAATATTAAAATACTTTTGATTTTATTTACTTTTTTTATTTTATAAAAAATTTACCAGATGAAAAATTCTTACTTTGGTTTTACATCAAGGTCATTAACCACAACCACTACTAATCGGTTAACTTGTTTCATTTTACCCATAGTTGGTAACTCTATTCTTCCAAAATAACTTGAAATAAAAATAAATTTTATTAAAAGATTTTTTATCGAAATTTTTTTTATTTTAAATAGATAATAACAGTTATGCAAAAAATGCTATTAAATTAACTACATTTTGCACACCTCTTATTGTAATATGCTGTGAAACCATCACTTGTGGTCCCATTTACCATAACATAAGCCGTTCCTTTAGCATTTTCAGCAAACTCAAAAATAAAAATAAGTAAATAAGAAAAATCAAGGATATTAAAAAACAGTAAAAGACAATATTTTTTTCTTTAAAAGGGCTTACTAATCTTGATGCACTTGACCAATACGGATCTTGGTTCTTAAATGCACAATCTTTATCGCAGTTGTTATAGTCGATCCCGTCTTTACAGTTTTTACAACCACACCACTTTAGTTCGTTTGCCAGATAACTAAAAAAATTAAAATCTTTATATGCAATAACCTACGTAAAATTATTAATTCTAAATAAGTTTTTTGCTTCAAACAGTTGACAAAAAAATGCAACGCACACCTTATAGTTAATTAAGATAATTTAGAAAATAAAAAAAAAATTTTTAATTTTAGAAATGTGAAATATTGAGATTTGATTAGTTAATGGCTGTTTAAAAATTGTTTGATAACACTTAAAGTAATTTTATTTAACTAACATTTATTAAGTCCCAGGTATAAAAGTTCTATAAAATTTCTATAAGCTATTGAAATAGATGGTTCTATGGAAAATTTAATAGAAAGTTTTATTAATTTTTAAAAAAATTACTCTTTATAAAAGTCTTTTTATAAATTCGAACTTTTTTCTATGAAGAATAAAAAACGTTTTTGGTAGAGTTTTTGTAAAAATTTTATTAGAGTTTTTATAGATTAAATGTTTTAAAAAATTATTGGCGTTTTTTGATAGGATCCGTAATAATTGTGTTATTTATAAACAACTTCTTAAATCAATATCCTGGATACCTGACTGTTAGAAAAAAAAAAGATTTTCTTGATTTGTTTATCATTTAGTAATAAAACAAAGTATTTACGATAGAAAAATCAATTTATCTAAAAATCGATTTATCTAAAAAAAACCTGTGAGAGTAAAGAATACAAATTTTTAGAAAAATAATTAAAAATCAAGCATTTTTTACAAAATACAAACCAAGTACTGTTTTTGGAAGATTTTCTGTGGGAGAAACCTTTTGAAACTTTTCAAGTCAAAGACAGAGTATTGTCTGTTTACAATCATAACTTTTAATATAATCACCCAATCATATTATATTTAAAATAATCACCCCGGGAATGTGTCTTCTAATGTATATAAATTGCTTTGTACGGCAGTGTATTCGTGTGCAATGTATCGAGTTCCTGACCAAAACAAAGCCTAATATAAATTAAAAAGAACTGTTATACTTTTAAACCATTTTATTTAAAAAATTTGAGAATTTTAAAAACATTTTTAAAAACAAAAAACTAGATATAATAAATTTACCTGATCAGTCAATGGCTTTTTGCTTGCAGCTAACTTAAAGAATGCTTCATAGCTCTTTTCTGTAATTTCATTACCTTTACAGGTGTCTTTAGAAGCAAAACTATTAGAAAACGAGCTCCAAACTTTTGCACAATCGACGTCAATGTATAATGCCTGATTATGGTTTTGAGGCTTTATTTCCTCAAATTGAGCGCAGCGTCCTAAAATGATTTCTTTAATAGCTGGAGTGGAGCCTTTATATTCCCATGGTTTCATTCCACATACAATTGATAATGTTAAGAAAAATGAAAAACTCCCTAATGCTTTCATATTTATATTTATATTACTAAAACATAAAAAAAAAAAAGAAAATAATTTAAACTCTTCCTTTTTTTGTCAAAACAAATACCTGTAATAAATATGCACCATAATAAATACAATTTTTAACCATTTTGGAGTGTACTTCCATATTGAAAAATATGGAAACACTTGTTTATAAACAAACAGTTATCAATAAGTTTCATTTGCAGGGTATTTAGAAATTGTTTTGTTTTATCACTTTACAGATATAAACCTCTCTTAGGTTAATGAACACGTGAACAATTTTTAAAGGTTTTTTTTTGAAAAGCTTTTTTTGAAGAAAAACTTTTGTTATCATCTTTTTATCATTGTTGATAATTATTATTGATAAATAGTAACTAAACAATAATGATACAATAACGATAATAATAACGTTATCAGTGTCATCGTGGTGACACTTGAACTGACGAATACGAAAGAAAACTAAACTTTGCAAGTGACTCATCAGTTACTTTCAATTTGCGTTTATATCGGGCATTTTTTGAAAGATTGAGCAAGATAGTTAATGTTTAATTTATTTAATTTATTGTGATGTATCAACTTATTACATTATATTTGATAAACTATATTTAACTTACACTAAAGCAAACATCAGACAATTTGCTAATGTCTTAGTTGCTTGGTTACATCAATAAACTAATGCTTCATTTTTAGCTCTAAATCCTTTTTTTTTTTAATTTTTACTAATTTCTCACCTTGATTAACAAACCCCTATACGTTATACTTTAGAAACCCTTTTTTTTTTATACTTTCTTACCTTTATATCAATTAATAGTTTGTTAATAGACCAAAGTAAATTTATAACCAAACTAACGATTTTTTTACATTTTAAAACATTTGAAAAAACAAAACAGGTACAAACAAACAAAAACACTCAACACCATTGATATAATTGATATGCATTGATATACTGTATTATGTAGAAACACTCAACCACATTAATATAATATATTGTAGATCATCCCGATTTTTATTCGCTTCATTTATTGTTTATAAACATCTATTTTACTTGCTGGATTTTATTTACTTAAATGTAAACAGTTTGCTTCACTGCATCCAATAGCGCACGCAACTATTACTGTTTGCTGTTTTATTTTTTAGAGACGCTTATAGGAGATGTGCAACTTTTCATGCACCATTTACAATTCATGCACATTTTGATACAAGCAGCTAAATGTTGAAATGCAATGCAACAGCGTTAAAATTTTTAAAATTCTCTTGAAAAAACAAGCCTTAATAATCTTTTGTTATTTCATTTTTAGCTTTTTTTATTCTAGCTTGATAGCAACTATTTTTGTATGTATTTTTACCTAGTAAACATATTTACAGAGGGCGATTAGTAAAACTATATTATTAATAAAGTTAAATTATATGAAGTTTTAAAACAAATGGGGAATTTTAAAACTTTCTTTTTTTAATCCTTTTGCCGTACGCCTTGCATTAATCCCTAAAGAAAAATAAAATTGATCGACCGGACACTAACACTAAAAGACCGGACACTAAATAAACTTTGCAATAACGTTTTTTTTTTTCAATTTTTAAAAATATTTTTAACATTGCTTACTTATGTTCAGTAATAATAATTTCTATAAATAAACTGAGTAGGTAATGCCTAGAGATCGTAGTGAGTCGCATTTTAACAAGTAAATCGTTATTTTCTATTTCTTAAAATTCTTAAAACGAGCAAATCTATAAAGCTATGCAGTTTTTATCATTTTATAAGTTGTTTGAAGTATTATTTGATAATGATAAAAAACCAAAATAAAAAACGTTCATTTTGGTTAAATAATTAACAAAAAACCTACAATGAAAGTTATGTCATAAGTACTCTTGTAACTAATACTTAATATTTATTTTTATTTTTGTTATTTAGGTGCCCCAAGAAGGTCTTGTCGCAGAGCACTGCGGAAGTACATTTAACCAGGAAGTTCACGCCTCCTTTCTTACCGTGACGCAAAATATGTCCAGAGCTCGTTTCGAATCTGGATCTCCTGCTTATTAAGCAAGCGCTGTAACCACTGCACCATGGCCCCATAAGGTCATTGTTGCTCAAATTAATTTTACTTATTAAAAAATAAAAATTTGTTACTTACACTCAAATGCAATAATTATCAAATATATGAAATAAAGACTAATGATAATAAGCATATTTTGTGAATAATAGAGAATCTAATACACTTTTGTTTTATGTTCTGTAGGAATTTATTATATATATTGTTTATTCATAAAATTTATTCTTATATATCCAAATATTTTTTATTATTCATTTTACTAGCATCAATGCAAAAACCAAGTTAACTCGTAAACGTGCCGTTATGCTGTCAATTTTACCTCATATAGAAAAAGTTGTGGGTTTCACAGACCTTAAATTTCCAACAGCATAATTTAAAGGTGAATAAATTTGTACAACTAAACTACATTTAATTGTTATCGTTCAATTATTTGAACAAATTTGTTTGCATTTCATGATGCTTTCCAATGCTGTTACATTGTTAAAGGATATTTATTAATTACATGGGAATTATTTACTGCCTCAAAAATCTTTGTGAACATGCCGTTTATTAAAACACGTGTAAGTTATTTGAATAAATAATAAAATAAATCTTTTTTAATATTGACAAAAATAATGCGCTTTAGAAGGACTGACTTTCCTTCATGGACGTATAATAATTATACGACCTTGAGGGGAACGATAAGTTCCCAGTTTGATCCCCACCACGTCCCTGGTAGTACCGCACTCAACAGGTTACTCCGCGCAGCGGCCTTGTTCGTCAAGGTTCGTGTTTTGGAGTTGAAAAGTTGAGCGAGGGTTGTAACCACAACTAAATTAACCTTCTCGACTGTAATGTCTTTCTCGGTCCTTAGGAAGTAAATCAAAATGAGAAACTTTTGAGCAATATGTTATATTTAACTTTGTCAATTAGATAAACCTTTGATCTTTTTTGGAATGTTTACTAATATTATTATTTAAATTTTATTTTTTATGGTTAAAAAAAATTTTAATTATATTATTAGTAACCCCATCCCCAAAAAAGGTGATTTTCCCAAAGAAGGTGATAGTAAATCCCGTTCCCCAAAGAAGGTGATTTCCAAGTTATAGTCTATTTTTTAAAAAATATAGTCGGGTAGTCGGGTATTTAAAACAATTCAAGTAAGTGAACTTTTGTTTTAGGGTGTTATTTTGTTTTTTAGGAACCAGATGAATTACAACTAATCCCACTCCCTCATTTTATTCGTAAAATTGCCTCTGGTTAAAGTGCAGTGGTGCAGCCGTGGTGCAGTAGCTTCAGAACTGAAGGTCTCTGGTTCGAAGCCAGCTCCAGCTATATTTGCACTATTGTTAAGGAAGAAGATGTGAACTTCCTGATTAAATATTATTCCGCGGTGTCCTGCGATAAGACCGTTAGGAGATCTTGGAGCACCTAAATAACTAATAAAAAAATAATAAGAGCTTAGCCATCTTTATAATTTTAAATGTTTTGTAATGGACCGTTCCCTTAATAGAAAAAAACCGCAATGCATTTTAGTCTTTGTATTCACCGAAAATAAACAAATTAGAGTTAAAATTTTTAAAAATAAACAGTCAAGTAATTGATTTTAAAAGACTTTTCAAAATGATTTTAAATGATACAATATCTTATGATTAACTAATAACTCATTCTATTAAAGAACATATTACTGTTGAGTCAACAACAACAACAAAATACCGCGGTGGCATAACTTGTTGTGTTCCATTATGCAACAGTAATTCGCTCAAAAACAAAAACTTATCATTTTACATCATCCCAAAGGAAAGTAATTTGTTCAGTCCACTTTACAGGAGGAAAAAAGACTTATATGAACAACTGTCCATCCTTACTGCCAAAACAAGTTAAAGACAACATAAAAAAAATAAGAATCACAATAAATAGTTCTATTGGGTATAAATGAAAAATTAGATAAAATTGAAAACAAAAAAATTATGTTAATTTTTCATTTGAAGAAACCGTGCTTGAAAAGTTAAAAAAAGAAAATATTATCCTAAAGGACAAAGTAAACATTATTAAACAGTTTTAAACAGTTGACAGATTTAAACATAGTCAAACCCACTTTAAATTTTATACTGGCTTTGAATCATACAATCTATTTAAATTACTACTAGAATATTTATAACCTGCTGCAAGCAAACATATATATTGGGGTTCAAATACAAACATTGAAAATACAACAGATTTTAATTACAATAAAAAGGGAAGATGACGCATAATGATTTCAGAGTCTGAATTATTTTTAGTTTCAACAAGGTTTCGACTTGGCATTTTGGTTGACGACATGACGCTGCGCTTTGACATATCCTCAAGTCATGTTAGTAGAATCATAGTGACATGGACTGATTTATTGCAACCTTAAATGCGTATGCTGACAATTAGGGCAACAAAACAAACTGTAAAAGAAACAATGCCAAAACATTTTAAAGAAAAATATGAACCAACAAGGGTAATTTTAGGCTGCACTGAACTAATAATCAAAATGTCTACATCTTTTCGAAGCCAGTTTGCAGCTTTTTTTAATTATAAACATAAAAATACAGGGAAAGGATTAATTAGATTAGCACCAAATAGAGCTATAATTTTTGTTTATAATTTATATTGTGGTCGTTTTTCGGACAAACAAATTACTAAAGATTGTGGCATATACAACCTGCTTGAACCAGGAAACTGTGTAATGGCAGATAGAGGTTTTGATACAGCGAACAAAAATTTATCACATTTTGCAAACACCATTTAAATTGTCTATGGAAATTAGAAAAACTTGGATAGTTTGTTGTTATTTAGCAAACTTTTTGCCACAACTTGTTTCAGATAAATAAAATGTTTGTAAAAAATATAAAAAGTTTTTAATCTAAACTGCAAATATCTAAAACATAGATCAATATCAATGTCATTTGAATCGTGTTCCGAACTATTTTCATAGCTATTAACTTTGTTTATTGCTGATATGATAATATGTTTTGATCATTTGTTCATTTTCAGTGAATGCAAAGACCAAAATGCACTGCGGTTTTTTTTTTATAGAGGGAACGGTCCGTTGATACTGCGCTTGCGTATGATAGCCTCCTGCTTTTGAACTTTAGGCCGTGTGAACAAATTATACTGTAAAGTGTTAAGCTTTACAATAACAAGTATATTGTTATTGTTTATATACATATCTTCATCATTTATGATAAAGAAACAAGAAAATTGAAAAAAATATAGAAATTTTTGGAATAAGAACTCCATAAATTATTTTTGCTATTGTTTAGTTTGAACTTGCTAAGTAATACGGTTATTAAATGTACTAAAACAAACATTCTAAGAAAGAGTAGAACTTAAGTTTTAAAATACAGTTAATCTTAATTAAAAGGTATAAAATATGCCATTTTGGTTTTAGTATGCTTTCAAAAGGTATTTAATAATTTGTTATTTAAAAAAAAAAGATTAATTTACATTTGTGTGTGTGTTTTGGACAATATAAAGTTGAATTTTTAATTTTTAATAAAATACTGTAAAATAGAATTTTTTTTATTCACTGAATTGTTTGAAATTGTTATAATTAACGAAAGTTTAAAGTTTATTATGCTAAATGTTTTGCTACATTTTCTACCATTTTAAGCAACTGTTTAAAAAAGAGTAAATTTTTATAACATCTTTTTAAACAATGGAGTAAAACAGAGTAAATTTGTATTACACCTTTCTAAACAACAGTGTAAAACAAAGCAAATTTGGTACACCTTTTTAAATAATGGTGTTTGAAACATTTTTTTACCGTTTTTTAAAAAATGTAAAAACTACTTATAAAATGCTTGTTAATTGCTTTTTGGTGTTCCGCTGATAATTTTTTTTTTTTGGTGTTCTACTGATAAGTTTTTTTTGGTGCTCTACTGATAAGTTTTTTTTTGGTGCTCTACTGATAAGTTTTTTTGGTGTTCTACTGATAGGTTTTTTTTTTTGGTGTTCTACTGATAAGTTTTTTTTGGTGTTCTACTAATAAGTTTTTTTTTGGTGCTCTACTGATAAGTAGTTTATACGCTGATCAAAACTTTTAACTCAAGTTTGACATTCAAAAAAGTCGTTAAAGCTGAATGAAGATTAAAAAAACGTTTTTAAAGTTTTATTTAAAAACGTTTTTTTCCTAAAAAAACGTTTTTAAATAAAAACATAAAAGTTAACAACTCGGATGTAATTCACTGTAAAAAGGTTTTCTTGTTAATTTTAGGCTTTTTAGTTAAATACTGCGCTCTCTATTTAAAGATTGCAAGGATTAAGATGCACAATACAATCGGCCAACTTTGTTGCATGATAAACTGATGGATCAAAAAAAAGTATGAAACTTGATTTTTGGTAACTACAAAAAGAGTTGTTTCCATAATAAAATTTCAAAAAAAAGATTAGGTGGAAAGTTATTCCTGCTTTAATTTCTCGTTTTGAGTTTGGTACTTACCAAACTCAAAACGAGAAATTTAAAATGTTTTACTTAAAAAACCAAACAGAGGTTTTCTAAGTAAAACAGAGGTTTGGTAAGAAAAGCAGAGGTTTGGTAAGTAAAACAGAGATTTGGTAAGTTATACAGAGATTTGGATAAGAGCTTGCAGGAAAAAATTTAAAGTACTTATTTTATAAGAATTTTTTTTAAACATCATTGTGTCGTAAACAAATGGATAACTTAGCACCAAACCAGTCTATATAACGAATATGTTGAAATAAGATAATTAGACGCAAAGTTTAAAAATTTTTAACAAAAGCCACTAAACCAAAAAAAGTTAGAAGTAATCGCAGTTCAATGCACTTAAATAATTTTTTAATTTAAAACTAAGTTTGTTGTATAGGCTAGTTTGGCGTTTATCCATCTAAATGCGCTGATGATTTAATTGGATACAGAAGCTTGTGAATCTCATTGCAAACAGAAAAATGTTGAAATATTGTTACTTAAAATATATATATGTAATTTATTATAATTTTGTTGTTTAGTATTACCAAAGAGAATTTATTGATAATAAACAAATAAAATAATAATTATACAAATTAACCAAAAATTTTTAACTTTTTTTTAACGTGCATTCAGTTGCTTTTTTATACTCCCGAAAAAAGTGGAGTTGTTCATTATCAATCTTGAAATTCTCTGTACTCAAAGGCACAGGTAAAAAAATACGTATTTTGAACGTTCCAAGGACGTCCAAAACAAGTATTTTTTTACCTGTGCCTTTGAGTACAGAGAAAGGAGGTTCAATTTTATGGTTTGTTACTATAAAGTGTATAAAACTTGGGAAGAAATAATATAAAGTGGTAAAAAACTGCTAATTAGAAAAGTACAAGTAACAAAATTTTATTTTAATTTTATTTAAACAAATGGACAAATAAAGAGGTATTTTTATTGATAATTATTTTTTGTTAATGCTGAAACGATTTTACAAAGCAAGAAATTGTATACAGAAATCATTAATTTGTATTTACCCAGTCCGATATAATTCTATAGCTCTGTCGCATGATGAAATGACAGTATTATCAGTGATTATTGCAACTCTAGTTTGATTAAAGCAACAGTTTAAAAAAACACTTTTTCGTGGGTATTCTAACCTTTTTATATTAATGTCGCTTAAACTAAAACTATTCTACTAAATTAAAAAACACTGGCAATGACACAAACAAGATGCGCACAATAAAAACACAATATAAACGCAATGAAAAACACAAACAAGATGCGCACAGCCTGATTGACGAACTGAGTGGACTTTTGTAAAACCTTCGTAACAGTCGAAGCTCGGTTTAAGTCAAAGAAGAAATAATTACAGTTTTTTGTTTATTCTAATGTCAAAAACCTTAGATTCAATAGCTCAGAAGATTAAATTTTTCCATCAGCACTACCATTATTTGAGTCTGATTTACTGAATTTGACAAATGAACCTGAAAAGGTACTTGAGTCCATAATTATTCCTTTAATTATTGTAGAAGAACTTGATTACATTATTAAAGAAGGAAAATCACTGATACAACTAGTTAGATACGAAAAGTTGTTATCAAAAACAAAAACATAAAAGACACTAATTGAAATAGTAGTTTTGACTGACACTTTGTGATTATTTAAAAAAAGCCTATTTATTTCTAAAGACCGCGAAACCAGCGTTGAGGCTGAGCGTCGAGGCTGAAGCGTCGAGGCTGAAGCGTCGAGGCTGAAGCGTCGAGGCTGAAGCGTCGAGGCTGAAGCGTCGAGGCTGAAGCGTCGAGGCTGAAGCGTCGAGGCTGAAGCGTCGAGGCTGAGCAGGCATTTACTTCCGATAGACTATTCCAGACAGAAAATCGAATTCGTTGAAACTTTGAACGTGTTGTGCTACCTAAAGCCGCATTTTAGAACACATAAAACATAATTTTTTTCTTATTTTAAGCATAATTTTCTTGGCATTAATTCACATGATAAAAAAGCATGTTCCTTGATTTAATAAATATATTTTAATTAAAAATGAATTCCAGTTATTATTATTATTATTTAGACTATTTATTAAGTCTGTAGAATCAATGAGGTATAATAGCTTAGGTGGAGGGAGAACGAAGTCGAAAATTGATTTAAATCGCGTGACAGTCTTTGTAGTATAATTATTCCAGTAGCAAGTCAAAATGGCAATTTTGCAAAAAAATTTTGAAATGTAATCAGTAACCTTTGAGACTTGTAATCGAAGAGGATTAATAAAATAAAAGTTTGTTGGATATTTTATAAATAAGCTAATTAAAACAAAAATTATGATTAAGGTGAAGTAATTGTTTCTTGCCTCCCTCAATTATAGGAATAAGTA